AATGAGCTAACCCCTTTTGCAGTACTTTTTTTTTGTGTTCCTCAACCTTTTTCCGATTTTTTTTTGTACCAACCCCTCAAGTCAAAGAAATCTCAAAAAACCAAGAACAAGAGCCAAGTGGCCAAGGAGAAGGGGACTTTTGGGAAAGGAATGGAGCAGAAGTTGACCAATTATGTAAACCACTTATACCACTGTTACATATATGTACCACACACACACACACGCACACTCCCTCGCTGAGAAAAAAAAACTGAGAACGAAAACACGTCAATGCGATAATTATTAATAATTATCCACTCGTCCTTCTTATTCTTCTTCTGCTGCCGCCGCTGCCCCTGTTTCTGCCTCTTTCTACTAGACTCTCCCCCTCTCTCTCGCTCTGCCTCACATGAAGCACTAATAAAAAAATACATATCACCAAATAGGGCGATATTTTTACAATTAAATGGTAATTTAAAATATTTAATATTTTCAAAATATACATTACAATGAAGTTTAGGATTATTTTTGGGAAAGTTTCATTAGCTTGAAATCTGATTAATGATTTTATTTTTGAAAAAAAAAATCGAAAAATATCCCTAGAATATTTTTCAAAATTACCATCGATTTTTTGCTGTGTAGCTGGCTTGTTGTGGCCGCTCCTTGGAGGACACTTCGTCCCCCAACCCACCGCCCACTACACACAAATCCCACCCAAATCCTGGTGCTGATTTCCCGCTGAGTGCCATTGCAACAAAGGCACCTCCCCTTCGCCTCCTCGCCCCCTGCCGCCCACTTTTCGTGTGGCATGAACTGCTAATGGACGGGCAAAACTAAATTATGGCCAAAATGGTGTTGGCTTTCTGGCTGGCTGCCACTTATGTGCCACTTACACATCCATATATATACACACACACACGCACACAAATATATATGTAGGTACAACCCGGATTTCCCCATTTTGGAGTTCGGAGTTCGGAGCGTGTGCATGAAACATGTAATTATAAAATTAACGATTTCCAAGTGGCTCAAAGCGACGTCGCTATTTGGGAGCGTGTCAGCCAGGAAAATGAAAGCGACGAAGAAGAAGAGGAGCGACCAAACAATGGCCAGAATAAAATGGCATAAGGATACACAGGAGTGTTTGGGTTCGGGCGTACAGTCTGTATTTTTGAGGGACATTGCAAAAACCTTTCGTTGATTAGCTGAAACTTTAATCTATCAATTTTGGTATTATTATGGTATTTATTTTTCTGGTATTTTCTGGTATAATATCTGGTATATTCGTTTAGTTTCAATAGTTTGTAACCAAAAATTTAGCCAATAAAAATATTTGTTTATTGTATTTATTGATGAAAAATAAGAGAAAAGTAGACGAAAAATGAATTAATATAATAAGCTTTTTGAAACGAATTTCCGTAATAAAATACTAAAAAGAGGTATATTTTGTGGTTTAATATTATGGTTTTTTATTGATATTATATTAAACTGTTATAGTCCGGAACTTCCACCGTTTGTGACCATAAAAAACTAATAAAAGCATATTGAATAAACAAAAAAACCCAACAAATTACAGAGCTAAAAAAAATATTTCAAAGCGAGTACTATAAGACCCATTGTTAGTTCTTATTTTTGTAAACCTCGCTAACTTCTCATAAAAAAAATAAAATAAATATTTCCGAGCTTCGACGCATATAGAACAGCAGGATATTTGTTTTTTCAAGGACATTATTTGCCAGATCATCGCAAGCAAGATGCCCCAAAGCCTTTGCGAATTCGAAATCCCATGGAGCGATTGTGGTTTTGGTTTTGTCATTAGTCAAATGGCAATGCCAAGCCAAGGTCCTTGGTCCTTTATGGCTAAGCAACAACAATGGGGGCATTTAGGGGGCTAATATGCGGTAGAATACCATGCGATTTCGATTCCGATTCCCCTGGGAACCCAAACAACCCAACAAGTGAGCAAAAACAAAAACAAAAACCCAGAAGCGTTGCAATCGATGGCAGATGTTCCTTTCGCCTTTCCTTTGGTTAATTAGTTGGCCACCAAAGGCTTTTAGCCTAATGAGAATGGGTAAAAAGGGAGGAGGCCGTTCTCGAGATCCAGGGATCAAAGGATCAATCAACCAATAATCGAAGTGAATTTCCCATTTGCATTTAAGACCCACACCCGCGTTAAATATTCTAAAAAAAAAATCATATAAATACTTGTATGAAAACGACTTATTCCAAATGCATCTCGAGTGGCCGTCGAACATCAAACAAACGAAACGATGAACAAAAAAAGGCGATGCTGAAAAAATAAAAAACCCAAAGAGCCGCCGCATACAAAGGCTTTTAGTCCACAAAGTGGACGTCCTGCATATGGAATGTGGTGTATACATATATGTGATGTGAATATATATACGGAATAGTCGCCAAGCCTCCACGAGCACGCCTCCATTTCCATTTCCATTTATATTCGTGATTTATGCGCCGTCTCTTTGAGGCTCAAGTGCAGATTACATTATAAATATGAAATAATGCTCGGGTCCTCGAGAGGACAATGCGAAACGGAAACTCCTTTTATCGAACTTTTGTGTCCTGACCACTTCTGTTTCGCTGGAAAGCTGGCAGCGAACCAATTACCCAGGGATTGGGGTTCAAACTGAAATCAAAAAAGGGCTTTTGCACCCAAAACGTTCAGTGTTTCATATGGAAACTTAGAGCTTAAAGTTTTCATTGTTTTCAAAGTATTTAAAATATACAAAAATAATCAATATATAAATATATTTTTTGGAAAATTATCAAAGACATCTTGAAATTTTTTATTTTATACATATTTTTAAAGCACTTTACAACCTCCACTACCAATGCTCAATTAGATTTAATTCATGTGTAAATTTACAATGCCACTTGAGACTCCACAAATGGAAAGATTAAAGCGAAAAATAAATCATACAGATGCCATCAAAATTGTCAGTTTTAATGGGTTTTATTAATGCCGCTTGGCAAAGAGTTAAGATGAAAGCCACAATTTATATTGAGTTGGGAGACAAAAACACAAAACATAAGAGGTGGTAAAGTATTATATGAGCATGCATATCGAACGTAAATTATGTTTAAATAGGTATAACGGAAAAGAAAAGAGAAGGGTAGTGATCTAAAATATAATAATGTAAAATATTTTTCCGAGTATTCATCATGGCTACTATGAAATGACCATCGAATTTTTATCTATGTTCCTTCAAAATACATAATCTTTATAACATCACATATGTGGTTCAATCATTAAATATTTAATATGATATTTATGATATATGAATATATTTAATTACATATCAAATTTTTTCATTTATAATTTTTAAAATCTTTTCTATACAGAATCTTTATAATACATCTTTATAGTATAACAGATACAGCCATCAAACATTTAATGGCCAATTATTTTCCGCTCTGTTTAAATTTTTAGTTACCAAAATAACCGAAATTAATTTATCTCCGTGTAGATTTAGCTACTGAGTGCTAATTACTTAAAATATCGAACAGACTGGCTCCAAAAAAACCAGGAAAAGCAGGGGTTTTTGGGGTGGTTGATTGAAACGGTTTTGTGGGCTGACTAAGTGCTAACCAAGCAGTTAATTGAAATGGCATATTGATTATGCAATTGTTATGCAATGCGACTAATTAATGTTTGCAACTGCAATTCGGAAAATGGAGAGAGAGAGGGAGATAATAGCCGCAGCTAATCGATACGAGAGAGAGAGTTTCCCGAGTTTCCCGGAGGCTAAAAGAGAAGGAGGCAGAAGGCGAAGCTTAATTAACATGACCAACTTTGTCCTGAACAATGCGCGCGCTTTTTTGGGGCACGAAGCGTGGAAAGCGGAAAAATGCTGAAGCGCAGGGGACTTAAAACTTCCAGGAAAAACTTTACTTTCGGAGAGAACAAATAAAGAGAGAGCGGAGAAAGCATTGAAAGTTAAAGAGCGAGGAGACATTTTTGGGATTGAGATTCGAGTTCGATTTTGAGGGCAACCTATTAATTCCCTTACTTTTTAAAGACATAACACTAAGAAATTGGCTTTAAAGGTATAAACCATAATGACCTAAAATGAAAATAATTAAATCATAAAATATAACATTAGTTGCTATAATAAATAAGCAATTCTACATATTATGTTTATAATAGAAAAAGTAAGTTAATTTTAAAGAACATAATAATAATATTCAATTATTGTTGAAAATATTAAATCTTTTAAATTTAAAAACAGATATTTGTTATGACTTTTACTCAAGAACCCTGGAACAAATTATACATTTTCAATTTGGTAAATATAATAAAATTCAGCTTCTTAACACCACAATTTTGGCGGGAATTATTCTAATTGGCGGTATTTATGGGTATCATAGAATGTTTAGACTCGTTACTTCCAATCTTTGCCTTTATTTGGGTTTATTATTTTTGAACTAAACAAAAAACAAGAAAAACGTATAAAAATTCGATTCCATTTGCACACTACGCACTCTATCTCACTCTCACACTCAGGTGTATGAAAACCTATATAAAGTATAGGATATATATAGATCGGGTATCGGGGACATATAGCATCATTGGCGTCGCAAAACAAACTGAAATCGAAAAGCCGAAAACTTGGGAGCGAAACGTGATTAACACGCACACAAAAGAGTCACACGTACAGTGTACAGTGTACGTGTGCGGCGGGGTTTCCAGGGTGGAAAGAGAGGCGAATAGAGAGATTACCCGGGAAGAAAAGAGATGGGTGCACGTGAACCCCTCTGCACTGGAAGTTGGCTAGTCCAAAATGGTTGAGCAAGTGAGACGGATAGCATGGCTTTGGCCCTAGGCCATCCCTTTCTCGCCCGCAAAGATGGCGCTGCTGTGTGCGCCCCGTGTGTGTGGGAGCCGGGCAGCGACGCCGGCAGCGCCGTCGACGTCGGCAGCGACGTTCTGAACGCGACGCTTTTGCTTCCCTGCAATTCGCTTTTCAATTTCAGTTCGTTTTCGAACGCCGCACCGAACGCTCCAGCGCTCAAAAAAACACACTAAACAAGCAAAAAAAAAAGAAAAAAACAAATCGAAAAAAAATTACAAGATAAATATCCAAGTGCGAAAGTGAGTGAACTTTTTTTCCTGTGTACCGAGTGCGTGTGTTTTAGCCATGAAAGTGTGAAATTGGGAACTCCAAACTCTTTTTGCGAAATATCTCGAAAGAAAAAAAATACCAAGAACTACCGTCGGCAAAAATGCAGGCCACGAAAATGCGTACGCCCTTTGCCATCCAGGAGATTTTGGGACTGGGCGCCTATCAGCAGCAGCAGCAGAATAATAATAATAATAATAATAATGCCACGCCCTCGGAGGCGCCGCCCTCGCCGGCAGCCACGCCTCCACCCGCCGCCCCTCCGCAACAGCAGCAGCAACAACAACAACAGCAGCAGCAACAACAGCAGGCTATAGAAAGTTTAAGGGACTCGAGATCCATATCCCCCGATGTCTCCCGACTTTCGGCGGCTGCTGCAGCGGCGGCGGCGGCAGCGGCGGCCGCCCACTGCCAACTGCCCGTCTTCAATCCGGCCAACTTCTATGCCGCCGCCGGTTATGCCGCTGCCGCGGATCCGGGAAATGCCGCGGCGGCCCATCATCATCATATGACCACCTTGGCGGCGGCCGCCTATCTCAGGGGATTCCTACCGCCCGGCTTCAGTACGCCCCACGAGTTCCGGGGGCACTTTCAGCAGCACTTCGGGGCACAGTTTGCAGGTGAGTGAATATCAGCGTTCCCATCGAAAACTATTAGCAGTTTGTGGAACCATTAGATGGTATAAGGGTTATAAGCAGATTGGAGATAATATAAAAGATGGTAAAAAGTCAGGAGAGTTATGAACACTATTGAATGTATTCTTAGGAGAGATCTATTAACAGTTTGTAGACCCATGAGATCATAAATGATTTATAAGCAGATTGAATGTAATATAATAGATGGTAAAAAGTCAGAATAGTTATGAACACTATTGAATGTATTCTTAGGAGAGCTCTATTAGACCCTTAGGTCATGTAAGAGTTCTAAGCAGATTGGATCTAATATAAGAGATGGTCAAAAGTCAAGAGAGCTATGAACAATATTTTGAATGTATTTTTAAATGGGAATATGCACCACAAATGCACCCACCTGCTTAACTTTTTTATTTACATCTTCTAGACCCATCAGGTCATATAAGTTATAAGCTGATTGGATCTAATAGTATAAAAAAGAAATATGTATAATATATATTTTAGAAAGTTGAGACAGTTATGAACACTATTAAATGTATTTCTAAAAGTCCAGATCAATTAAAGCCTATTAGTGAAATAAACCAGAAGTTCCCACCATCTTTTACATTTTCTAGTTATAAACAGATTGGATCTTATAGTATAAAAAAGAAATATGTATAATACATATGGTAAAAAGTCGAGACAGCTATTGTGGTATTGTGATATATAAGAAGAAATTCTTAGTAAAACTGTTTCAAGTAATTGTGAGATTGGAGGTTTTAAAGTCATTGCTTATGTAGGTTATAATAGAAATTAAAGTAACTAAATGTCATTAAATATTAAATCATCGAAATACTTGAATAACCCCTTCCTCATCTAAATTATTTGTAAATAAAAAAATTTGTACCTGCACTTTGGCAGTGAGGAACTTCAAATAGGGCACAAAAGCTAAGCGGCAGGATAATTAGGGGGTGTGTGGGGTGACGAGGGGAGGGAAGGGGTGTAAAAAAGGAGCTGCATAGCGTTGAACACTCTGCTACATCTGCTGTACGGGTGCAGCCAAGTGGCAACCGCATCTGTCTCCTGCATTTGCCTACTCTCGGCACTCCGAATCCTTCGTCCTCCTGCGTCCTGGGTCCTTGGTCCTTTTGCCCACCCGTAGGCGCAACTAATAAGCTCAAAGGGTTGGCAATTGAGTTGCGTCCTCTCATCGGAGTTAAAACAATGAAACGACACGATTAAGCACAGGACAAAGGGAGTGGATGGAGCGGACCAGAGGGCGGTTACCGGGGTCCGAGCTTATTAATAACACTCATGCACTCGAAGAAAAAGCACTCTTTAAATTATAAATTATATAAATAACTTCTGTATAACTTTTCTAATTGCTTGACATCGAAACAGTATTCTTAACATTCGAATTCAAGCAAACTTAGTTAGGATACACTTATTTTTCAATAAATTAATTTTTGAGAAAAATGATGTCTTTATTTTTAAGAACAATTTATCTTTATTTAAAGATTAATTGGAATGGAATATGTTTTTGCATATAATACCATGTCTAGTAATTACGATTGATCTGTTACATAAGTAAGATAAACTAAAATCGTGTTCCAAATAAAATTTTTTTTTCTATCTGGAGTTAAAATTTACAATAGCTAAGCTTTCCAGAATCAAGCATTTTAATTTACCAAAGTGGTTACTACTAATTTTTTTTGGTGTACACACACCGAGTGAGTTGGAATAGAAGGAGGGGCGAGCTGGGAGGCAGGGAAAGGGAAGGGGGAGGAGGGGCGGTAAGTGAGCGGCAGCCGTCCTGTCAGCAAAGTGTGAAATCTCACACACACTTCACTCGAGACACGATTTCGGTTTTTCTGTGTGTGTGTGTGTATCGCTAATTAAGCGCATAATTTTCAGTGAAATTAGCAAACTCCAGTTGGCACGAGCATCCATTAAAATGCGATAGCCAGTCGGGCTTTATTAAAACAGAGAGATTAAAGCTTCAGAGAATTGTTCATAGTTCGGGAACATATGTAACTTTAGTGGGTTCAATACGAAAATCTCTATAGCTATGGCAAAACAACTAACTATCCTTATTAACTAATAATAAGAATCCTACACATAACTGTCGGTAAATCATATAAATGTCTGTATAGTAAAAGCGTTATGCCTCCATTCAGATGGAACTGCTATGCTTTTGAATAGGTAATGGTAAACTTCTTATAAGTAGTGTAATGATGGTAAATAGAAATCGTTTTAAAGCAAAACAACATTCATAGTTAGATTATTATAAGTTTTCAACAATTCCAAACTTCTTTAAGCTTAAATTGAATTTCGAATTTTTGATAAAAGTGTTGTCTTTTGTTTATTTTCAAGAACAATTTATCTTTAATTAAAGATTGCTAGGAATCAAACTCTTTTTTTCCATATTATCCGATGTCGAAGATTCCACATGCTCCTCTCCTCTTGAACCTATTTATTTTGCGTTATTATTATTGTAGATTTACGAATGTTGAACTCAATTTCCCGACCAAAAGACCACGCCCCCGTTAAATTTTCACCTGAATTGCCCATCTCCTTTCCGCATTCTCGCACTCACACACGAACACAATTGTATCCGAGAGTTACACGCACTTAATTTGTTAAATTTTCACACTTTACATCTGTTTATTTGTCATTCCGCTGCCTTTGTGTGGTTCTTCGTTTCGGTTTCTTCGTTTGTCATTCAGTCAGTCGTTCAGTCATTCCGTCATTGTCATTCCGTCATTGTTGACCTTTCCGGGAGCTGCTGCTGCCAACCACTTTAGAATCGTCTTTATCTCCGCCCTTCTTCTAGTTCTTCCACCTTTGCACTGCGCGAAAATGCGGAATTATCCTTGCATTGTATCTTGGGTTTTAAATTTCCGATATTAGTAGCAGAACGAACAAGCGAAATATGTAAATTTTGGGGTATAAATACACCCCAATCGGGTGAAAAATTTAGAGAAATGTGGTATTCAAAAAGTATGTAAGGTAAGATAAAGCTTGTAGAACTTGGACATAATTGCTAGGATTTAACAAATGTGAATTTTGAGGTATAAATCCTCCTCAGTCGGGTCAAAAATTAAGGGAAATGTGGTATTCAAAAAGTATGTAAAGTAAGATAAACCATGCAGAACTTTGACAAAATTGCTAAGATTTAACAAATGTATATATTTCGAAATACTCTTCAAGTAAGTACTCCCATTTTTTTTCGCCTGCACATCCTGGCACATCCTTTTCGAACTTGTTCTCCTCAGTCATGCTCATGCCCATCGCAGTCTGTAGTCTATTTGCCGAAGGTCCGTTCGCACTTTGTTTGCACAACAGCAGAAGTTGAGACCCCGAGGCTCCTGGCGGCGAGCTGTAAAAAAGGCAACAAACGCCGTGTCCTTTCTTTGGTTACTACTAGTAGATCCTGGATCTACAACGGGGGGCGTTAGTTTTTGAGGCAAATTGTGTACAAAATAAATCGACTCGAGTGGTTAACCGCAGCTGGAACATCGGAAAAATAGGAAAAGTGTGGAAAGGGAGCAAAGGGAGTGGATATGCAGCATCCTTTCCATTTTCTCCGCTATTTTTCCTTAGCGAAATTGCTACTTGCACGTTGTTAGCCTTAATTTGAGTGGCCATTGAGGAGAGCTCTCTTTTTACCTCGGCTTTCCCTGGCTCTAATAAATATTTGCTCGAGAGATCCTTGGCGTATGTTGTGTTTTGTTGTGTCCTTTTGTAATGCAGGCAAACTATTTTTCTTTCTCGCTTCTTCACTTGTATTATTTTTGTACCTTTTATTTTTCTTCACACATTTGGCTGAATTGCCTTGTGAGCCATTTGGTTGTCAGCGCCCCTTTTCTTGGCCATTGTTGTCTTGCCGTTGCCGTTGCCTTAGTCATGTGCACTGGAAAGTAGATTTGTCTTAATGACAAATAATAACAGACAAATTGGTTTGCCTAATTGGGTTTTCCTTGGGAAAGAAATTATACAGCAGATGAGCGAGCGGCTTTGCAAGAGAGTGTTTTGCCTCAATTTCGATTGATTAAATAATTGGCAAATTAACTTAAATCGCTTAACGATTGCGAAAGTAAATGAATGATTGCTTACAGGTTGTCAAATGCACTCACACACTGGGGAAAATAGACTATCTAAATTCAAGAACCGAATTCTTGATTTGTGAGCTAATTTGCCTTGAATTTAAGAAAAATTTAACTTAAAATACAGCGTTGTAAAAAATTACCAAAAAATATATTTTTAATCCTAAAAAAATACTAAAATATTGCTAAAAATAAATAAATAAAATAAAATTCCCCATTGATTTATTTTAAGATCACTTTGTTCTTTTTATTATCTATTATCTGCATATAATTTTATGAGCTCTTTAAACTCATGCCTAAAATCCACAAATAATCCATAAAAACTCCTTGTGGCAAAAGGTCCCTCGTCACGCGTGTCCTTGGCGACTGTAAATCAATCGCACCAATTTTGAAAGCCAAAAATAATTACCACAAAAGAAACGAAATAAAGCGAGAGCCTATAGAAATAAAAGACCTAAAAAAAAAGCAGCAGCAGCGATAGGAATCTTTACTCTTCAGAAACATAATAATGAAGGAGGGTGAAAGAAAGGTGTCTCAGATATTTTTTGCGATACTATTATTGTGCCCCGCAAGGACGCACTTCCGATACAACAAATCCTTGCACATTTCCTGCCTTTTTTGGCCCAAGAAATTCGATAGTTTTTCGCACATTTTCCCGACGAAAAGTGCTGGGAAAAAGTCCCCCAAACAATAAACTGTGTACACAAATTGCTATATCAAGTGTTAATTATGTGACAATGAGTAGGTCAAAAAACTAGAGAGGGAAAAGGAAACGAGAACTATTATTTTCTTAATACATTTTTAATTAGAAAACTTCAAGTTTTGGGTTTCGACGAAAAGAAAACACAAAAATGGTTGGATGATATGCGTGGTTTTCATATTTAGGTTTTAGGGTTTTTTTTT